ATTCAGAAACTTGACAAACAATGGTTCTGGTTTACAAATAACAAAGTTTATTATGCCATAATTATTTATATTGGTCCATCCATCCAGTTGAATATGTAAATCATTTGCCTCAAGAAGATCATGAGTAATACTACTCTGCATTTCAGCATACACTTTATCCACATAAACTGTAGATATAGATTTTCGACAAGGTAGTTTAAAGGTTGGTCGAATTTGCCTAAAAAAGTCAATCCAAAGTGGGTGCTCAGTCATTGATAATGGAGAATCACTGACGATGATGGCCAAAGCAAGTTTTTCATTCAAACGTACCTATGAAATATAATACTATATACTTTAATTATAACATTAGGTACCTAATTTGACATATAATAAAATACTACTATATTAAATAGGTACTGGGTACAATTGTACGAATTCAATATAAAGACAAACTAGTAAATTAACTTACATTTTCCCCTTTATCCATTCTGTCAAAAAACCTGCTGAAGTTTTCTGAGTGCTGCTGGATTTGTAATTGGGGAACTTCTTTTGATGTTGATTGAACTTGAACTTGGTCATTAATAACATCATATGCATCTACATCCAAAGTTGATATTTGAATTGTGCTCTGCTTAAATTTCTTTTTAGTTTCTTTTGAAAAAAACTTACACGATTGACGCTTTTCATCAATACCGACTTTTTTAAAATATTTACGGATCGGATCTTGTTTTCTTCCCATAATAATTATATTTTTAAATAAAATAAAACTAAAATTATAATAAAACTTATTGAAAACGTAAGTACGTGATTTCAATGCATGTTTTGCAGACAAAAACGCAAACAATTAAAACAAAATAACCTTATAACAGTAAACGCGTAATTATTATCAACGGCGACAAGCCGACAACTTCATATTAATATTATATCTTATATCGACATATCGTGAATAAATCGTGGTGTTGAGTGTGTTGACTGTTAGCTATTGGCGTACCGCATAATGCCATAGTCTAAGTAATGTGGATTATTATTATAGATAACTGATAAGTAAGATATTTATAGCACATGCTAGTCGCCGCACACGCACACCAACTTCAGCAGTGTGAGTGTGTGACGGCCGCCGGTGCGATGAAAAAAAATAAATAAATACCCGATTTTGGAAAGGTATTTATGTCATGGGTATTTCCCAGGTATTTACCCGAAATAAATTTCTTACCCATCGGGTATTTACCCAGTGCCCATCACTAGTTGTAGCATTTATGTATTTGAGGTATTAATTAATTAATTAAACGTTTTTGATTTTTTGACAACATTTTACTAACTAGAATTTTTCGTTTTCTTTGAAATGTCATTCCATGCTTTTTCTTTTATGTCTTGTCGAGTGCAATTAAATGATGTTATATCATAAAGACATGTGGGGGACTTTCTATAAGTTGTATGAATGCCATATTTTCTTGTTGTTCATGAAATTGAATAAATTGATTGTAAACCAGAGTAGGTAATAATCAAATAATTGAAAATATTCACAAAATCTATGACTAAATCGAACTATTCACACTAGCAACTAGACAAAGAGACTGACACGTCGAGTTGCTCAAAAATAGTTTCAAACAGTTGATTTGTTTTCCAGTCCTGTTGCGATCTGTGAAAACACGTCAATTTAATAATACACGTCGCGTTGCGTCGTGGTTGCGTTGCCGTCATCAGTTGCTTTTGGTGAGAACACGGCCTTAAGGTTACCAGTCGCGATTAGCCGCCGAAGTCTGACTGGTTTCCTAGACATACAAATCGCCGCGGCTCTAAACATAATATCATCATTATTTGTTTAGTCGTTCTTCGCATTTTGTTGTGTTAAGACGTATATTTTAAGTGTTAAACCATGTCCGATTTAATGTGTGTTTTTAATAATAACAAAATGATCATAGATTTGCTTGAAGAAGAGGAGGAAGAAGATAATTTATTTTTACGTAATTATTTAAATCCAAATAAAAGGAAACCAACTAAGGTTTTATTTAATAATCGTGTGTCTGAAGGTTATTTTGAAATTTTGATAAATAGACATTTATTTGAGAATGAAACAAATTTTCGAGAGTTTTTTCGCATCAATCACAACCAGTTTAATTTCATATTATCTTTAGTTGAATTCGATCCAAATATTATCTTTTAGAATTATATTTTTGTGCTTTAAATCAGCACTGTCGTATAAAACAGGATTTTTCTGGATTTCCTCTAAAAGTATTTCCTCATGTTCCGGCAAAAACACAATTTTTGACATTATTATATTATAATACTAAAATATTATTATATGTTCGATATTATAATTATTATTCAATACTACAATAATTATTATAATTCAATACTAGAATATTTGTTAAATTATGGTAGTATATAATATATACTATATACTACTATCAGCGACTGCAAAAGTTTTAACACTATTTTCGCTTATTGGAAACCAGTCTATAGGCACTACGTGTAAACACTGTTCATACAAAAGCCGCGCCTTGGAAACCGTACCTTTAGAAGATTAGTCTAAGGTCGTGATGAAGGCATTTATTTTTTTCCGAAATTACGATATCGTCGATCGCCAATACTAATAACAAACCGTACAATGTATAAAGTATAATACACCAAATTTACAGACATTACTATTTATATTTTTCCAAAAATGACGACGCTGTCCCTTATCATAACCACCATATAATCTTTAATTATAAAAATAGTTTTGATATTATAAATCGTAAAATTCATTTTCCAATTGATGTAAATTGAAATTCACATAAAAATTATTTTGGACATCAATTAAGATGAACGTGGCGTCCCCCCCGTTCCGATGAAAAAATATAGTTGGGGTAAACATAAAAAAAAAAAATAGTAGAGGAGCTCTGTCCCCCTGCGCCCCCCCCCCCCAATTCGAGCACTGATTATATGGCCCACTGAGGAGAGTACCCCTCCTACAGATCGCCACTGAATGATTACTAACTTACGAGCATAACAGCAGTTGACGATTATCATCTTAGCGCGAGTAGCACCGATAGAGATTACCAGTCATTCGGGCCATCATTGTTCAACACTGTGGTCCAATAATCAAGTGTATACCTTTAATTTACTACATTTATATTTTTAGTATTAAGTATCATTGTGTTGCTCATTTGGTAAATATATATTTTACGTTTTTGACAAAGTCATGAAGTCCCGCAACAAGACTATAAATAATAATCAGGAGATAGATCTTTAAAGAGAATCTAACCAGCTAAGGTTAAGTTAGTTTAGGGATACCATTAGATAACTTTATCGCTAACATTCATTTAACGAATACCGAATAGTCATATCAGGGTCATATTTACCATAAGGCAGGATAGCCAGATGCCTATGGCCTCTGTTATTAAGGGCTTCGAATTTTTATGAACCATTTTTTTCTTAATTTTAATGAACAACGTTCATCGTATAAAATATATATATTTTATTATTATTTAACTAATAAATGAACGGGTATCAAATCCTTTAGAAATTAGAATAATATAAGTATAGTTCAGCTTATCTTATAACAGAATTTAGATATAATAAAGAAGTAAAAATTATTAGTATCAATGGTAATAGTTAACAGCTAAATAAAGAATAATATAAAGCACAGTTAAATTAATTAACAATAAATGGTTACAAAATAAAAAAATAATAAAAATTAAATAAATAATCATAATAAAAATTTAAATTTAAATTTAAAAGAGAATTTAAATTTAAATCCAAATAAACATTCTGTCTGAATACACAATGTGACACAGCAAAAATATCAATATGATCCATTATACTGTTAGCCAATTGGATTGAAGCAGTGGCGCCGACTTAATAAAAAAAATTAATAAAAATTTGTTAATACCACCACTCAAAAACCTAACCTAACCCCTTAAGAAAAATAATTCTATACATATGCCTGCTCATTAAAAATAAATTGAAATACATAGTAGGTAATGTTTAAAAAACTCAACTTAAACTTAAAAAAACTAAAAAGAAACAATTACTAATCTTGCTAGTTGTTAGTCGACGTAGGCAGTAACAAATACGTACATTGCACATAAAGTGTGTACTATCTATAAGATAGTGTCTACCACAATTTAATATTTATATTTTTTATAGTTATTCTTTTCTGTTTATATTTATTCTAAATAATAGTTGATATCACTATCACTTTAATTTTAAAGCTATGGGTAATAACCGCTCGGGGATCATCTATAATAAGACACAGTGTCAATTAAATTAACCCATAGTGTACATCATAGTTGGGCAAAATTTTATCTAGATAGTTATTCGAATGATTTTTTTACAATTCTTCGAATAAAAAATTATTCGATTAATTTAGAAACAATATTGTTCGAATAAAAATGTATTCGACTAATTTTCAAACACAATAATTCGAATAAAAAATTATTCGACTAATTTAGAAACAATATTAATCGAATAAAAATGTATTCGAATAATTTGGAAACAATATTATTGGAATAATTTGTGATCATAATATTATTTGAATAATTTTTAAACATAGTTATCCTATCCTAGTATATATAGTAGTATCTAGTTAGTACTAATTACTAAATATGTATTATGAAATAATGATTATAATTCTTCTAGTTTGTCTACATGTATTTAGTATGTATCTTAATAGTAATTAATTATTAATATTGAAGATTTTACTATTATATCTAGTTTATTCCAGTTTCTGTACTATATTATATAGTGTCAGATATTTTGGTACTATGTACTAACTACGTATGTTCAATGTTGTATTTCATATTTATAAGTTCAAATATATAGAGCTCTACACAAAAATATAAAGATCCTAGATAGATATGGGCATGTAGCTATAAAAATTATCTGTTTGAATTTATGATACCTAATAATAATTGTGTTTAAAAATTAGTTGAATAATTTATTCGAATAATTGTATTTGAAAATTAATTGAATAATAATTTATTCTAATAATTGTGTTTAAAAATTAGTCGAATAATAATTTATTCGTATAATGGTGAAAAAAATCATTCGAATAAAATGTTATCTAAATAAAATTTTATTCGAATAACGCCCAACTCTGGTGTACATTATCTACCATTTTTGCTTATTCGTTATACCTACATATTATGTCTTCGAGATTTTTTCCACTTGTTCAAGTTAATTAAAAAAATAATTTCATGTAATATTGTAATATATATTATATTTATTAATATATATATTATTTATTGTAATATATTATATTGTTTATTCAATATTGTATTTTAGTGAGCGTCCACCCGGACTTTTGGCGACTAAAATTAAAGAGGACGCATAATCTTAACTTAAATAAGAAGGGGGACTCCGTCCCTCTCCATCCCCCCCACTTTAACCACTGCTTATAAACACTGAGAACCGAGAGGCGTTTAGCTTCATCATGTGTGCGAAATAGATATTAATGTCAATGTACGTCTTTATACTTGATATGGTGTAAAGACATGCATTGATAAGCGAATTGTTCCATCGCATCATAGTATCCTACCATCTACAGATCAATTGTCACTTAATTTGTACATTCTTAAGATTTACTAACTAAAGTGTAAATTTATCTACCAAACCCACCCAAACACCAGACACCCACTACCATAGTAAAATAAAGGGGCGAACTACCCCATAAAAGTACATGTTAGGCGCAACTGGATTGAAGTACAACATAGTTGTCTAGGCAGTTTCATCTTATTTTCTACAACTACCTACGTC